GGGCGATGAGCGGCGCAGGTGCTGGAGCCCCTGCGGGAGCGGCTGCTGAGTGTGCAGCAGGATTTCACCTCCGGGTGGGTACACGGTGGGCGACGGAAGAGACCCGAAGGGGCCGGGGCCGCGCGAGGAGCCGGGCGGCCTCCGGGACGGCCCTGCTGCCCTGCGTTCCGGGCTCCGCACTCCCGATCGGCCGAGGACGGTAACGAACTTCCCGGCAGCGCGAAGTGACCGAGGTCCGGGAGGACTGTCCGACCGGTGCCCGCGGGACGGGCGGTGGTCGGCCACGAGCGGGATGCGCCGGGGCTGCGCGGGACCCCGGCCCCTGCCCTGCGATCCCCGCCCGCGGTAGTCGGCGAGAGCCGGGTCACGTGAGAGGCGAGCGCACCCCCAGCTTCCGCCCAGCGGGATCGTGCCCTGCACCCCTCGGGACACTTGCCCCGGCCCGGAGTCCGCCCGCGACGCAGCCCGCACCAGCTTGGCCCGCGGGCCTGGCCCTGCCGCCGCCTCCCTGCAGCTTGCTATCCACCTTTGCCCGGGCTTAGCCTCTGGGCGGACGGACTCTGGGCCAGAGAAACCACTGCAGGACAGCGGCCCCAGCACTACCCCGTGATGAGGAGCGCGGGCCCAGAGGTCACCCGGGACCTTCAGCAGTCCCGATGCCCAGGTGGCGTGCACCTGTACCAGTTAAGCCTGAATGTCAACGGTGGTGCTAGAACCAGGTGGCGTGCACCTGTACCAGTTAAGCCTAAATGAATGTCAACGGTGGTGTTAGGGATCCCCAGGTGAGGCCAGCAGCAGTCCTGGAACCACCAGCCTCCGTGCCCCGCCAGTGAACCGAACTCTAGCTGCAACTTACTGCAGATGCCCTGCCTCGTTTTACTGCTTCTGCGACTGCAAATGGGGATGACGAGAACAGTTCTTACCGTGCACAGCTAGGAGGGCATGAATTAACGTGTAAAACGCGCAGCGAGCACTGTGTCGCTGTTATAGTTATTTTCATGACGTTAAAAAAGCGTCCGTCCAGTTTAGCTTAAAGATCCTTTTGGAGAGTGCTCAGAATGGGAGAGTACCTCAATCATACTGATGGAGTACTGGTTACATTGCTGGACTTCCATGTAGTCGACTGCGGGTTCAAGTACCAGACGTGGGCGGCTTAAACTTATGCCGGGCACGTGTGCCCAAAATCCTGAGAGGAGAATGGAGGAGAAGGGATTGTGGTATGGCTACCAGCCCCCGCCCCTCCCCTGCCATCCTCAAAGTGATTTCTCGCTTTCTGTGTCTCTGTTTTTCTGGCAAGTGCACACTCCCATTAGCAAAAAAGACAAACAAAAAAAATCCCAAACCAAAACAAAAAACCATTTCTCTAAAAATTAAAAAAAATTTTAAGAAGAATTATACTATATATACTTTTTCATTTTTCTCTTTTATCTAAAATGTGTTTATTGGGGTGGTCTCCCACTTACTTGAGTCAGGATGCTGCTAGTGCTGCTTCTCCTGAAGGAACATCCTTCTGTAAGCCTCGCTTTTCCTCCTGTAGGCTGGCGGACGCCAGTGGAGCAGCCAGCGCACAAAACTTCTGTTTGTGCATGGCTAAAGACTGGTGGTGTTACAGCCTCCTAGGCACTGCACACCCATGGAGTGGGGATTGGGCTCTGCACCAGGCGCTGCTTCTTGTGTTTCCTCTTCTGTCCTGGAGAGGAATGAAGGAGGTCCTTCGTGAGAGACATGTTCTTGTTGGGAGGTCGTCCCCACTGGGAAAGCTGTGCTTTAAATTTCTTATTGGAAAGATGTCAGCAAAAATTTTATGGGACTGTTTGCCTGTTGGGTTCTGAATTGGAAAAGACTGGCAAGGACTTCAGAGCTTACATCGTGTAAACGTGTTTCGCTTTCAGTTTGGTGCCCCTAAGAACACTCATATATGCTCCAAGAGTCATGCACCCATAAGGGAACTTGTATATAAATTTAGTGCTTCCCATAAACGTAGGAAGTGACTTCAGAGTGTAAATGGTGGCATTAGAAACATTTTGGTGTGATGCTGCAATGGTCACCTTGCGGCATGAGTGGCTGTGGATAAACCCGTCTGTGCTCTGTCCTGTTACTGTGTCAGGGAATTCCTCGACGCTCAAACAGCCCATCCTCTGCTAGTTCCTGTAATTCTTCTAGGTCATGGAGTTGCCCCTAACCCATTCCTGTTCCCGACCTAGGAATATGGACTCCTGGCTGCCTAGGCCCGACCGTCCTGGGTAACCCTAAAAAACTAGGGGTTCAGTAGGGAGAGGCGCTAAGTGAATCCGGGCAGAACCCCGTGGAAACTGACTTGACTTTTCACAGGTGTCCAAATTGGGGCCCGGTTTGGAAACAGAGACCCTGAAAGGGCTCTTCATTCTGCTCAAGTCCACTTAATTCATGTTGCCAACCAGAGACACCTGAGCCCCGCACTTTATCGAAGGGAAGTTTAAGTAGCTCGCAGGTTTTGGAGGCCCAAGGTGAAGGGGCTGCCTCTGGTAAGGGTCTGCGTAGAGGGGACTCTGCAGAGCCCCAAGGCAGTGCAGGCCCACTCAGCACATGGCAAGAGCAGTGGCACGTGTGTCTGTGTGTCTTTCGCTCTTTCTTTTAAGGCCGGCAGGATTCAGTCCCGGGGGCTCCTCCTGATGAAATGCCCATGTTAGCTGATCCTAATCACCTCCCGAAGGCCCATCTCTATCACCATAATTGGATTAAGTTTCCACCCTCTCAGCACCTACAGTGGCTCGGCCAAATTTTATGATGTGATTTTTTTTTAAATAGAGGTTTTTGCCTTAGGGTGTGTGCACGCCTAGGGGGTAGGGGGAGACACAGACAATGAGAGATCACCCCCTGTGGGGACGGCCATGCCGAAATCTCTTCATTCTTTTCCTGGGGTCTTGGGCATGCATGCACACGAGCCTGGTGTGATTTTGAAGCCACTGTTCTGGGACCTGAACCGCCATCAGCCATATGGGAGTCTGGTGATGAAACCACTACACCATCTGTGGCCCCGACACGTGAATTGTTGAGGAACACATTCAAACCTCAGTAAGGTGCTTCTTTGGTGTCTTCCTTGTGCAGGTCACTCACAGCTGACAGCACTGGGCTGCTGGGTGTGCCATTCACCGGTCACCTGGCGGGGACATAGCTCATCTCCATTGCTACAGGGTAGGCGTGCTTTCCAGAAACAGAGAGAGGGAAAGTGAGAACAACCCCCCCTCCCCGGGGCAATGGCCACACCACAGCCCCTCCTCTCAGGATTTGGGGCACACATGCACTCATGCCTAGCATGATTTTCAAGCCGCTAGGTCTGGGATTTGAACCATGGTCTACCCAGTGCCTTCACCACCACCCCACCTCCTGTCCATGCTTGTCTTTTAGATAGGCTGGAAGTCTAACCAAGGCCTCCCTGTGGCCTCAGCCTGGCGAGTGGCAGCGTCGCCCAGTGCATGCTAGTAACTGGGCCGCAGTGGTTTGCGGAGGGCAGTGCAGCATTTACTGGTGGGTGGTGGGTGGCTCTTAGGGCTGTCTGGGATTGGTGGCTATTTGTACATTTTTATTCATAGTAATGATTTTGTCAACTTCAAGAAAAAGCTGGAAACAGCGTCGTGGTCTTTCTGCCACTAGTGGGTGGAGGCCAGCCCAAAGGCCGCAGGACTGAAGAGTTTGGTTCTGGGCCCCCTCAGAGTTCTTTACCCCTCATTTAAGTGAGTCCTAATGGCATTTCATGGAATCAGAATTCCTGGAGCTTTTGGAAGGTTCAGGCAGAGGTTCCATTTATTTTAGAGATTGCCTGGAGCCCTGAGGAAACATTTGGATATCCTGAAGCACATGTTCAAACCTCCTCTGGTCATTTGACTTTTACCTTTCGAGCAGTTACACCAGAGGCCTCAGGGTTAAGTATCCACCCATGCAAACCCCTGCACGGAACTGAAAATCAGATTTGCTGAAGGTTTTGCACCTCCTGACACAGACTGGTGTTTCCTGTTTGTAATGCCCTGGATTCCTGTAATAAGGGATTAAAAAAAAAAAAAAAACTGTTCATTTTTGCAGCTGTACAGGGCACGTGGCCCCTCAAAGCCACCACTGCCCCCAGCCTCCACCCCTGCCTGGTGTCCTCATCACTCTCTGCTCCTCCTGTAGTAGCAAAACCAGCAGAGGGGAGGATCTGGCCCTCTGGTTCACGGTGTGGTAGAATGCTGAGGTTTCGTCTGAATGTTGGCTTTTCCAGGGATTCTCACCTTTTTATTTAGGAGGAAAAAGTTCCCAACGTTCGGCTTTATTTAATAAGCATTCACTGGGTTCCTACAAAGTGCCAGGCCCTAGGCTAGGGCACCCAGTGGCCTTTTTCATAGCTTTAAAGAGACTTGAGAGTCCCTAGTCTCAGCTGTCCTAGTCTCTACAGCAGCGTCTGCTCATTGGGCTGGATCCTGGGGTACAAAGCTGGCTGAAGCAGTTTCTGCCCTCCAGATGTCCTCGGCTCTAGTGAAGCAGTGCGGAAAGAACCGGAAGTTAAAGATACAAATGGTGTGTACGTGAGTCCAGAGTTGAGTCAGATGAATTAATTCAGATGCATTTACAGAAGGCTTCCTAGAGGAAGCGGCCTCTAAACTGACCTTGCAGGGTGAGGAGGGATTGTGATGGCCTGGGAGGGCGTTTCCGAGATGGAAGGCAGCCAGGGGAGCTGACGCTGCAAGTAGAGGCTCTGGGATACTTTGCTTAATTAATTAATTTATCAAATATTTATTGAGTGCTTACTCCTTGGTGGGCACTCTTCCAGATGCTGAGTATGTAACAGAGAACAAACCAAGCAGCGAAAAAGGTCCCACCCGCATGCTAGGGGCAGGAGGCAGAATACCCAGGTCATAAGTGCTGTGATCAGAAATCGGGGATACGGTGTCCTCGGATCTCTGGAAGGATACCTGGAGAGGCGATGAAATAGGATGATGAAGGATGGGGAGCAGAGAGACGGGCCAGGTGAGAGACGGCAAGACGGTGGGTAGACATCTGGAGGACAGACTGGAGGGGACAGGAGGCGGTGCAGTGGTCAGATTTGTCACAGTGAGATGTGGGAGATGGAGAGGCACAGAATTGAGAATTTAAGATTTGGGATATCTTGGAAATGACGTATGTCGACATAAGAGAATCTAAGGACGGCTTTGAGAGAGGAGGCGCAGTCGATGGGAAGTTCGGTGTGAGGCAGCAGCCTGACCTCCCAGGAGCAGCTGGGAATGGAAGATGCACCCGCGAGGTCAGAACTGAAGCGGCACATTTGGGGTTAATTAGGATAAAGATGATCTAAATTGCGTTCCATATACCAAGTCCTCTTTAATAAAAGAAAGATGTAGCATATTTTAGAAAGATTTTTATCAACTGCAGTTTCAGGCGGTGTGAGTATTTAAGGAGATGTCAGCACCTGCTATAGTATCTACTTTGTGAAGTGTACTCTTTGGGTGTCTTTTCTAGACCTGTCAAGTTCAGCTATGTGCATGCTTTTAAAAAAAAAAAAAAGTATTTGCTTATTTCTTCTATGGGGCAGAGAGACAGAACCCCTAGCAGGGTCTCCATGCTATAATCCACCCCCAGCTTCAGCCAGCCCTGGACCATGGGTACACATGCCTGGCCTACAAACGTGGAGCCCTCCTGTGCCGGGAAGCCTTGCAAGAGTTTCCTGGTTTACAACTGCATTGCTGTCCAACCTCCTATTTTTTCTGATGATGTCAGATAAATTAGGTTTCCGTAGTTCAATTACACTGAAGAATCACTGGTTCTAGAAATGGGACTTGGGGCAAGTTAAAACATAACTATAAAAATAAAGGTGTTTATTTCAGATTTTCCATTTGTTGTATCAAACATTGTAAGCCCTTAAATAATTGTCCATAAAAGTGCTGAATTCTTGCCCCCCACAATTTTAGCTTCTCTGACCTAAAATGTTAACAGCTGTGAAAATTTGCGGTTGAAGAATCTGTTGATGTTAAAGATGTTGTATCTTGTACTTGCTGAATTATAGGCTGAAGACTTTAAGTGACAAGTCAAGAGAAGCAAAAGTAAAAAGTAAACCGAGGTAAGCTTGCACGAGATCTTAATGAACGATGTAAATTTCATATAATACAACTTTTGGTTGTATTCATAGTAGTGTAATTAATGGGTTTAGATCTGCTGAGTGCATCTGATTACAAAATAATTTACTGATTCTAAATTTCGTAACAGGAAAATTTTCTGGTGATATTGTGAAATGGTAGAAAATGGTGACATGTAAATATTTTACTCTGTGGTAATCAATAGCTATGTTTGAGCACCACAGTTATTAATTTATATGCTAAGAACAAAAGTAAAGTCTTTATTATTGGGGGCCAACAGTTGCTGTGGTAGTTAAGGTGCTGGATTCCCATGTGGCCAACCACAGTTCAAGTCCCAGATCTGGCAGCTTCAAAAATCATACCAGGCACGTGTGCATGCATGCCCCAAATCCCAAGAGAATGGAGGAGAAGGGATTGTGGCTTGGCCACCTCCACCCCTCAGTGGGGGGTGATTTCTCACTTTCCCTCTCTTTGTCTCTCTCTGGCCAGAGCATGTGCCCTATAGCAACCCCCCAAAAGTCTTTATTGAAAATAAATGATGAAACAGTATTTGGGAAGTGACTCTTTAGCTCTGTAACTTGTTCTATATGAAAGCACCAATATCGCATGATTTCTTTTCCATTTTCAAATAAAGAAAATATGTCTAAATTTCACTTTCAGTCTAGATGAGGAACTCTGTCACGCATATTTAGTCATATTATCTAGCATTATATTAAATTGTTTGCCTTACTTTATGCTAAAAACAACCTAGGGGCAAGGTCGTCCGTTGTCTGTTATAGCATATTAACTCTGAAATCAAACAGGACATTTCTGTAAAAGTTTATATAAACTGTCATTAAAAAATTATTGTGACTGTAGTTGACTATGTGAAAATCTTGTTTATGTCTATTTTTTAAAGTTGGCTAAATCAGAAACAAATTTTAATAGAACGTTTCTCCTGGCAGGACTGTTCCATATTTGCCAAAGTACTCTGCAGGACTAGAATTACTCAGCAGGTAAGTTCTCATTTAGAGGAAGGTTATATTTCTATTTTTATTGACTAAAAGTATAATTTTATAGGTCAAAAACCTTAAGGGGGCCAGCAGGTGGTGTGGTGGTTAAGGCACAAGATCCCACCTGTAGTAAGAAGTGTTGGGCACACTTGGCCCCAGCTCTGGTAGCTTGAAAAACACACTAGGCACGTGTACACAAGATCTCTTCCCCTCCCCCCCTCACCTCCCCCTCTCTCCCTCTTCTCCCCTCTCCTCCACTCCCCCCTCCCGTTTTTCCCCCTCCATATCTCTCTCTCTCTCTCTTTATCTCTCTCTAGCAGACACATGTGCCCTCTGGCAATAGAGGAAAAAAAGTATTTGAGAATGTAGAGAAGTTAGAACTCTTATGCATTACTTGTGGGCATGTAAAATAGTTCAGCCACATGAGAAAACGGTTTGCAGTTTCTCAAAAAGAGAGACAGAAACTGAGAAATCAACCCCCGTGGGGATGGAGTCTGTTCTCCAGTCCCCTCTCAGAATTTCAGACATGCACGCGAACGTACCCAGCCGGATCTGGGGCTCAAGCGGTAGTTGACCACATGGGAGTCCGGCGATGTAACCCTTATGCCATCTGCTGGTCCTGAGTTTTCTTAGCCAATCTAGCCAAAGGTCTGTTAATTCTGTTGACCTTTTGAAAGACTTAGCTTTTAGTTTCATTGATTTTTCTCTGTGGTTTTTCTATTGTCTCTAATTCTGCTCCATTTTGTATTACTTTTTCCTTTGCAGGCTTTTGGTTTGGTTTATTCTTTTTCTAGTTTCTGAAGCGGTAAAGATAGGCTGTTGGTTTGAGAGATTTCCTTGTCAACCTAAGTATTTATAGCTGTACTTTCCCTCTTAGCACTCCATTCCCCGCATCCTTTACATTTTGGCATGTTGTGTTTAATTTTCACTAGCCTCTGAGTATTTTCTGATTTCTACCTTGACCCATTAATTGTGTAAGAGTATGTTGCAGGCCAGCAGGTGACATGAGGGTTAAAGTGCTGGGTCCTGCTTGGCCAGCTTTGTGGCTTAAGAATCACACCAGGTGCATGTGCGGTCATGCCCAAAATCTCAAGAGGAAAATGGAGAAAAATGGATTATGGCATGGCCATCCCCCCAGGGGGGGGATGATTTCTCACTCCCCACCTCGCTCTCTTTCAGCCTCTCTGGTGAGCACACGCCCTATGGCAAAAACTATAATTTTTTTTTTTAAAGTATGTTGCTTAATTTCTACAAACATTTGAATTTTCTAGTTTTCCTCTTGTTACTGATTTCTAATTTCATCCCATTGTGGCAGAAGTGACTTTCTGTGTTATCTAGCTTTTAAAATCTATTGAGACTTAATTTGTACCCTAACACATGGTCTGTTCAGGAGAATGCCTCGTGCACTCGAGCATATGCATTCAGTTATTGTCGAGTGAAATGCTCTTTGTGTGTCAGATCTGATGTGTTCATTGCGTCATTCACATCCTCACTTTTCTTTCTTACGTGCTGTCTGCTGGTTCTATCATCACCGAAAGTACAGTATTAAAGTCTCCAGCTCGTATTTGAGGACTGTTTATTTTTCTCTTCAATTCTGTCAGGTTTTGCATCTTTTATGTTGAAGGTCTCTTATTAGGTGCATAATCATTTATAATTATTATGAATAATACCTAAAATCTTGTTAGATGTTCTTTCTCTATGCAATCTTTTATTAATATATAATGCCCTTCTTTGTCTCTTGTAATCTGTTTTTGATTTAAAGTCTCTCTTATCTGACATTATCACTAGCCCTGCACTGTTTTCATTGTCTTTGGATCTAAGGTGTGAGCAAGAGATAGAAAGGAAAAGTGGGAAGGGAAGCTGCCAGGTCCGGGACTCGAACCACAGTCAGCCACGTGGGAGTTCACCGCCCTTATCCACCATACCATCTGCCAGCCCCTGTGCTGACATAGTTCCCATCACTTGTTTAAGGACAGTCTGCTAGGGGACTCCACTGCCTACACTGGTTTTCTCTGGTTAGTTAGTGTCCTGTGGGGAAATCCTTTGAGACTCTGTAAATACTTTGTTTCTCTTCACACTTTTAACCTCTTCATGTTATTGTCCACTTGATTTCTTTCTGAAAGTTACTTGTCCGCGTGTGTCAGACGGTGATTTTTCTGTGTCCATCCTTTTCCGTACAATTACCAATCGGAATTCTACTGTCAGAACAGTTTTTCTCTCCCCTCCCCTTTGTTTATTTTACCGCAGAGGCGTGGATATTTGTTTTAGTTTCATTCTGCGGGCTATCACCCGTTGCTTCCGTTGTCTGTTGTTGCTCAGGTTGTCTCAGATTTGGCTATTCTAAGCTCCTCTAGGTCGATTTCGTGTCCCTGGTGACATTTCGGTTATGTTCTGATCTTTTTTTTCCCCTAGCACCACGGGCTGTTTAGGTTTATCTTTAGATGGTATTTCTTCTTGTTTGTTTAACTGCTGGAGCACCCCCAGTGGGGTGTGGTCCTGTGGCAATTCCTTCTCCTCTATTTCTGCACCCTGTTGAGATTTTGGACACGTACACAAGTGTGCCGGCATGTTTTTCAAACTGCCACGGCTGCCGTGTGGAAGCGAGGCCCTTTAACCAGCAAACCCAGGAGCCGGCGTGGCATTTCTTTTTAATGTTCAGTTCGCATTTCAAACCTTTCTTTTTCTTTCCTAGGTATGAGGATACATGGGCCGCACTTCACAAAAGAGCCAAGGAATGTGCGAGTGCCGGAGAGGTAAAGAATGAACTACTCTTGTACAGAAGCTCATTGTAAAACCTCCTATTTAGATGTTAATGGTAGTTTCTAAAAAATTAAACTTGTCATTGGGACAAGCAGATGGCCTTATGGTTGCGTCACTGGATTCCCACGTCGTCAACTGCAGTTTGAATCCTGGACCCGATAGCTTAAAATTCACCAGGTGCATATGTGTGCATGCCCAAAATCCAAAGAGGATAATGGAGAAGGGATTGCAGCATGGCCATCCTCCCCGGTGGGTGATTTCTTGCTTTCTGTCCCTATCTCTGACTCTGGTAACTGCACATGCCCTATAGCAGAAATCTCTCCAAAAAAAGAAAAGAAAGAAACTTAAGATCTACATATGATAGCATATGTTGGGAGATACTGCAACTTGGTAGGCTTAGGTCAACGGGAGACCTCAGGTTCAATTCCTGGCTCACCCAGAAAACCCAGGCATGGTGATGCATGCCTTATGGGAGATAGTCTTTGATCTGTGGCTATGTTGGCAAAACAAATTCAGCAATTCATTAAAAAAAAAAAAATACACTAGGTTTATCCCAGGATTAAGTGGTTGGCTTGACATTAGAAAGCCTTTCCATGCAACTGATCTCTTTAAATATTAAAAGGGAAAAGGGTCAGGAGATACAGAAGATATATACAGTAGAATTGAGTACTTATGCTGGGTAAAAACTTCAGCAAACTTTTCATAGAAGGCAACATCTTTGTCTCGATAATTACCAAAACCCTCCAGTGTCTTGCTCCCTGTTTGGCCATCTTGCTAAATCCCCTTATTCTAATCATTCGTATTTGGGGGGTGGGATTGTTTTGTTTCTTACTTTTCAATCCGTACAACTTATTTCTTCCTACTTTTTTTTATAATGAGCAGAACTTTTGGTATGATGTTCTAAGTAGATGAATACCTTGGTTTAAATTTAGGCTCCACCAGACTTAAAGGTGAAAGGAAAACTTGACCTCATTCAGAAAACAGTAGAAAAGAGAATGTTTAAGACTGCAGGGAAAAAAAAAAAAGACTGCAGGGTAGGAAAGATTTCTTAAGGCCTGAAAAGCACCAATTATAAATTAAAATATTGATCACTTTTGTTAAGACTTCTGTTCATTGGGCTAGCAGGTGGTGTGGTACTTACGGTGTTGGTCCAACATGCTGACCTCAGTTCAAGTCCCAGACCTGGCAGCTTGCTTTCTCACTTTCCTTTCCTCTCCCTCTCTCTCTGTGGTGAGCACATACACCCTGTAGGAAATTAAAGTCATAATAATAATAATAAAATTAAATATATATATTTTTTTTGAAAAAAGACTTCTGTTTATCAAACACCATGATGGGGCCAGCAGGGGGCATGGTGGTTAAGGTGCTAGACTCCCACATGAATAACCACAGTTCAAGTCTGGGACCCAGTGGCTCAAAAATCACGCTGGACACATGTGTGTGCGTGCATGCCCAAAAGCCTGAGAAGAGAATGGAAGAGAAAGGATTGTGGCATGGCCATTTCCCCAGGGGGTGATTTCTCACTTTCTCTCCCTCTGTCTCTCTCTAGTAGATATACCCCCACCCTATGGCAAAAAAAAAACTTTGAAAAAAAAAGCTAAAAAAAAAAAAGAAAAAGGCGCATGAAAAATTAGGCAAATCACAGGCGAGTCCTCAGGCAGAGGATAGGGTCAGAAAATACCAACAGTCCAACAAATCAGCCGATGAGACAACACAGGGAAGGGACCAAAAGACACCGCCAGGCATTTTCTGGAAAACGTGAATGACCTGGTTTAGTGACCAAGGAGACCCAAGTTGAAGCCATCAGATGATCAGAAATTTAAGCAGCTTTGGGTTTTTGGTGCAGCCGCTATTGGCAGATGACGGCTTGTTTCTTCCTTAAGAACTGTGCTGAGAAGTGACTAGAACCTGGGGTTGAGTTGGAACGACCGCATTAGGACGATGAGCTGGCGCTCAGTGGACGGTGGAGTTGCACGTGGCTTTTAGACAAGTCCCACTCCCCTTTGCCGCGGCATTGCCTCTAGGCTGGGGCTGGGGGGAACTTGGGGCCGATACTCTGCACAACGCAAGCCCCAGAAGATGAGGAGAGTGATATCTTGACACACCTGTAGCTCGTTTGTGAAACTCTTGACACGCGTACCAACAGCTTTGTACTAGAACGTTCAGAGCAAGCGTCGTTCCCTTCAGACAGTCCCACATCCACCTGCAGGGCCATGTACGGTGGCAGGAATAAAGCCAAAGAGCGACCCCTCCTTCCTGCCGTGGTGATCGGTGAGCCACACCTACGTGTGTTCATGTGGGCGAGTCCCACAAATACCGTCAGGTGGAGACCGTGTCCCATGGAGGAGCTGTAGCTAAAACCGTTCTTTCGATTGCAGGAAACATCTCATAATCATAGGTATGGGGGGACAATTCCCTGTCAGATCCCTATTGCATTGTGCTGTTTGGCGATCTTAAACGTCAGGTTTTACGTAATTGAACACTTAGTTAATTTGGATCCCACATCTGATCAATAGTCTCACGACCCAGCTGTGGTAATACATGGTGTGATTGGGTCAGGGCCACGTGAGAGGCCTGGGTTCGGTTCACTGACCGACCTCACAGCAGGCCAGGTGTGGAATGTGCATTTAATCCTGGCTACCTGGGAGGCTGGGGCAGGAGAGGTCCTGTCAGAAATACCTAACTCGGGACCAGCAGATGGCGTAATGGTTATGTTGTTGGCCTCCCACGTAGTTGACCGTCGTTCTAGTCCTGGGCCCAGTGGCTTAAAACTCACACCAGGCATGTGTACGTACACGCTCTAAACCCCGAGAGGAGAATGGAGAAGGGATTGGAGCATGGCCATCTCTCTGTCATTCTCTGTCTCTCTGGTGATACAGCAAAAATCTCTCTTAAACACACACATATAAGGACCAGCAGTTAGCATAATGGCTATGTCGCTGGACTCCCATGTAGTTGACTACGGTTCACGTCCTGGACCCGGTACCTTAAAACTCATGCCAGGCGCGTGTGCGTGCGTGCCCAAGATCCCGAGAGGAGAACGGAGGAGAAGGGATTGCGGCGTGGCTGTCACTGTCTCATGTGCTTGCTCTTTCTCTGTATCTCGCTCCTAGATAAATAAACTTTATAAAAGTTTTTAAAAATTTTAAAAAAGATTCTTGGTTTTGTTTCGCAGTTTCATGTATAGGCTGTTTAATTTGTTTGTCTCTTTTTTTTTTTCCTGGGAGGGGGGCAGTTGCCATAGCGTGCGTACACTCACTGGAGAGACAGAGACAGGGAAAGTGAGAAGGAAAATGAGAATTCCCGGGGGAGACTCCTCCACTCTCCGGGGCTCTGGGCATGCATGCACATGCTCGTGGCATGATTTTCACCCTGCTCGGTCCAGGGCTCAAACCAGTCAGCTCTGTGGGTGTGCAGCGTCTTAACCACCATGCAGCTGCTGGCCCCAGTTTGGTTTATTCTTTCAGGAATGGATTCCCAGGCCAGCAGGTAGTATGGTGGTTAAGGCGCTGGATTCTCACATGGCCAGCTATGGTTTGAGTCCCGGGCCTGGGGACTTGCTTTCTCACTTGTCTCCATCTCTCTGGCAAGCACATGAACCCTATAGCAAAAATCTCTCAAACAAAAAAACAAAAATCAACTAAACAGAAAGAAAGAAAAATAATAATAGTAACAATAAATACATCTTAAAGAAAAAAAAAAAAGGGAAAGAAATGAACTTTCTCTGCCTGTGGTGGAAAGAACCGAACGGGGTGTTGGAAATCCTCGTTTCTGCTCTTTGCAGAATACATTTTGGGCAAATACTGTCTCTTAGTTTCCTTGTCTATAAAATGGCATGAGACTACTGATTCCACTTAGCAGACAAAGTTCTTTGGAAATGAAATGAAATGAGGTGTCTCCCCAAACTCTGAACTCTTGAGTTTTATACAAGTAAAGCCTTCTTGGTACCCACGTTGTAAACTGTTGATGCTCCCTGATTTTTCTCATTCTTTTAACCTCCGTGTCCACCAGAAAGAATTTCGGAATGAAGTACTATGTGTTTGTCTTGCTCCAAAAACTGTAATTTTCCTGGTGGCAAATCTGGGTTTTTCTGAGTTGTTTACTTAGAGGTGTTTACTTGACTTTCTGGAAATGGCTAGTCTTTTTCTTTCTTTTTTTTTTTTTTATCATTATATAAAAAAATTACACACAGTAAGATGAATGGTCTTAACAGTACAGTTTTGCAAACCTTTTTCTTTCGCTGTATGTTTGCTTTGCTTCTCCCTTTCACACACCTGTAGCACAATTCCTAGCATGCTGAGGGGGGGGCATGGGCTTCTTGTCATATTCCCTGGGTTGAACCTAGGTCCACTGTGGTCCTCGGGAGAAAACTTAGCTTCGTTACGCCTCAGTTTCTTCCTCTGTGAAATGATGACAAATTGCTGAGCTCACAGAGTGGCTGTGCACTTTAATAAGATATATTGCTTAGCCCAGAGCCAGAAAATGGGAAGTGCTTCCAGTATTTTGGTATTGGATCTGACAGTGATTTCTGTGAATCCAGCCTCCTCTTCTAAATTAAAATATTTGGGGCCCAACTCTGGTAAAACACGATGTTCTGCAAGGCTCACCCGCATGGGAAGGTGCTGGGTTTGCTCCTGGAGACCTCCCCGGGTCTGCTGGCCAAGTGTGTGCCCAGGCTTTGGGGTCAGCCGAGGCTGGGAGGGATCCTGGCATTGGCCTTTTGTTGGGAATTCCTGTCTTTCTCTCTGTCTCATGGAAGAAAGAAATTAAATTTTTACAAACCTAAAAAACATTTTGGGGTGTTCTGATATATCCTTTCTACATACACATACTCTATAGTCAGAATATAATTTTCCATTTTTGTGGAAAGTTTGAAACTGTAGGTAATTTTAATGTTTATATGGTGCTTTACGTTTCATTAAGAGATGATTACTGTCTAAAGTTTATTTACTCGAGGCTTTTCAGATTATTAACCTAATTAGCTATAGTAAGATTTAGCAAACTTTTCAAACAATATGCCATGTACCAGGCAGGGTATATTATTATTAGAGCCCTGAAATGACAAGGATTATTTCTTCTTTCTCAGAGTTGAAAGTCCGAAGCGGGGAGAGTTAGTGAGACCCGCCTCCATGGTGTAGACACGCAGCGGACAGGGCTCTCTTCTGTCTACCGTTGCCGCTTCAGTACAGTCTCAAACAGCGCTTAGCGACGAGCACGTGTTCAGGAGTTTGTTGAAAACTGTAAATGAATTTTCTGGACACAGATAGTTCCTTCAAGCCTTGGCTTCCTGGCTGCATCATAGTCGTACCTACTAACACCGTTCAGTACATTTGAAGCTGCTTCTAGAGGCCTTTGGGAAATCCCGTTGGCAACAGGCATTTTTAAGTTCGCGAAATGACTGAGAAATGGAGTTTGCATGGAGCTTGGCGTCACCTCCCCAGCTTAGCTGAAGTTCGAATGTGAGGTGGGCTTAAAAACAATAGCGCAGTTCATTTCAGCTAATCCAGTTTCTTCCTTCCTTTTTCTAAATTTGTCAAAAGGCACATACACGTACAAGAGACAGACTGAAACAGAGAGGGAGCAAGCACATGCCCCATGTGTGCGGTCATGCCCCAATCCCTTCTCCACTTCATCCTCCTGGGATTTGGGCGTGCACACACAAGCACCTGGTGTGTTTCTCAAGCTGCTAGGACTCGGATTGTGGGACCAACTGTGTGCAATCCAGCTCCCTGCACCTCTAGGTCGTGGGGTTGGCCCCAGTGTCTTTCCTTGCACCATGAATTCCTACTGTGTTAAAATGTAGAAACAAAAGCAATCTAGTACCCTACGCGAATAATTTTGTATCTCATGTTGCAAAAACTATTAAAAAATCAGATTATTCACATTCTAACTCAGTCTTAATCTTGGGATGTATGAATTGTCTTTTAAAAATAATTTAATTGTGAACTCAATTTAACATAAAATTCAAATGCTTACCTAATAGATTTTGCAGCCTCTATTTTTATTGTGCAGATGAGGTTTTTGTTTGTTTGTTTGTTTTTTACAATTGTTCCTGTCAGTGATGTTTTCAAGAAATGACCTCCCCGTGCTCCTCCTAAGTCTCGCCCTAGGCCCCTTCCTCTCCCTCCCACCACGTTAAGAACAAAACAGACTTGTCTGGGAGAAGGCGACGCCTGTCATTTTCTTTCAGTCTTCTGAAAAGCAAGTTAGAATTTTCTTAGGTTATTCTGGTATCTCCCGACCCTGCTATTAGATTGGATCCTTTTGCAGCTGAGTCCCTTCTTTGTAAACTTGTGTGGTTCTCTCTTTCTGGAGCCAATCAGTTGCCTCAGTAATCCCCTGGTACATAAGGACCAGCCCCCTCTGTGCAGTGCGTGTTCCTGTTTAAAGGCACAGGACATTTTAAGTGCATTAGAGGATTTCTCTGGTGCAAGAATTCCTTTTGTAAAGCAAGTGATTGTCCGTTAAGTATGATTTGGATTTGTTTTTTCATTGTTTTCTTTCTGGCTGTTAGTGGTCATTTTGTTTTCTTTTTCCTAGATTCGGATTTTCAAATCCATAGTTTACTGAAGCACAGGGTGTACTTAGAAGCGATCTCTAAGGTCATTTTTTGAACTTCCTGTTCTCTGAGTTAAGATACTGATACAAGCAGTAATTTGAGGTTTCCTGCACTGAATATCACGCTGGTTCTTTTCTGAGAAAGAAAACAACCTCAGTCTTCCTAGGGTGTCGGTGCCATCTCCCCTCAGCAGAGGGACTGCCGGATGGATGCGGTCTCGGGACGCTGGCCGGCATCGGTGCCCCAGACGCCCGTTCACCCCCCGCCTCTTCTGTGTTGCAGCTGGTGGACAGCGAGGTGGTCGTGCTGTCAGCCCACTGGGAGAAGAAGAAGACCAGCCTCCTGGACTTGCAAGGACAGCTCCAGCAGCTGCCCGGTCTGATCGCGGACCTAGAGGCCATGACGGCAAACCTGGGTGAGTTCCATGTCGGGTCTGTATCTCACTCACTCTTCGGAGTGAAAACAACGTGGACAGGACTTGGCGTGATGCGTGGAGCTTTCTGAGGAAGCATTATATTCTTGGTTAACAATATAGTAACCTTCTCTAAATATTTTCATGTATTTTTGGGGAAAG